AAGAAAATGTACAGATTAAAAAAAAAATGCCTCGACACTGTAAAAAACATAACTTTTTGTCTGAATGTTTTTGGCAAATAGTAATTTAATTTAGCAATAATTAACGCAGTGGAAACAAATTTACCTATCTACACGGTAAGAAAAAAGTACCCAACGGAAAGTTCACTTCTACCTACTTTTGACTAGTTTGTCTCCTTTTCTCCTTCTAATGTTGTCAAAAACGGAGGAGCAAAACCACCCAACAGGGGTAGTAAAGTGTGGGAACCCAACGTCGAGTATAATCATATTTACCTACTTTTGGGTACAACTAACTTACTTTTGGGTAGAAAGCGAGTGGAAAATTCCATACGAACTGCACACAAGTAAATGAAAATTACTTTGACCCGCTTTACCTACTTTTGAGTTCCTGCACTATAGTGCCGAGATGAGTGAAAAGAACTTAATTTTGGGTACTTTTTTCTAACCGTGTACGGATCGTACTCCATGAAAAGTTAACAACACTGGTTCAAAGTTTAATGTGATGGATTTGTGCCATGATATGACCTTTTTGACGTTTAATCGGCTTTCTCTATCTAGCACACATGGTGAATGCACGGTTTGTTTTCCCACTAATCTGTTTCCTTCTTGCTCGCACTTGTTCAATTTAAATGGTGCAATAGTGTGCGCCGATTAAATGTCAAAAAGCTCTATTGAAGCGACTCTTAACGCACGCACACCAGCGGGTGCATCGCAGTGTAAAGTTTAAGAGTAAAGTAACATTCGCACCGATCCGAGACAAATAAAGTTTTGTTTCGATGACCGAAAAGTTATTCCTATTTCCAATTAAACACATATAATCTCGTAGTGATTGCAATGTTTAACATATTAAGCAGGGTTTGAATCATTCAAAGCAGATCGCTAGCTTTCATCCTAAAAAAATACGGGTTTTTGAGTCAAAAGTTATTATTCGTCGATTGGTGGCCCTAATGTTACTTAAGTCGAAGTGTATTTAGCAGGATATTCGGGAGAACTATCAATCGCGTCTCCTTACGTGCAGCCCATTCATGATTTTAGGACCACCGAAATCATCTAGGCAACAAACAGCTCGATTTATTAACTTTAATAATGAGAAAGCGAAACGACGAACGTACACTTTTCACGGGTTTCTCGGCACTGTTACTTAAGACAAACGGCATCTCCATGGGAATCGGGCGACTTAAGCAACAACGAAAACATTTTTGATCGTGATTACGTCAAAAAGAAATTTGACTGGTAAATAAATTTAAAAATGGGATGTGATCCTATATTCGGACAGTATATAGCGTAATAGCAGGAGTATCGATTGAAACTGATAGCTCAACTTTGTTTACCTTTGTTACTTTCTACGTAATGAAAATTTGCTCTTGAGTTTGTTGATTATTTCCTCTGACTAACCTAAAAAATGTATGAAATTAGATCTGTCAAAATGAGTTTGACAGTGATTTGTTATGTGTTTTCCTCAGATTTCCACTCACACGCTCGGTATCGCACCAATACAACCGGACGTGAAAAACTATATTAACCATTAAACACATCCCTAATAAACAAATACCATAATCGAACTGTAATCCGGATAGTAGAACTATCTTATAAATGGTTTGGATGATACCCCGAACACGTCATTAAGCTCTTATGGTTATTTTTATTAGGGATACCTTCAGACTGGGTTGTGAATGTTAGAAAAGCATACTCGCATATCAAGAGCAAATTTTCATTATGTCGTAAGTAACATCCGCACCAATCCGAGAAAAATAAAGTTTTGTTTTGATGACCGAAAAGTTATTCCTATTTTCAAGTAAACACATCTCATAGTGATAGCAATGTTTAACATATTTAGCAGGGTTTTAATCATACAAATGCAAATCGCTAGCTTTCATGCTAAAAAATACTGGTTTTTGAGTCAAAAGTTATTATACGTCGTTTGGTGGCCCCTATTCTTACTTAAGTCAAAGTGTATTTACCAGGATATTCGGGAGAATTATCAATTACGTCTCCTTACGTGCAGCCCATTCATCATTTTAGGACCACCGAAATCATCTTAGCAACAAATAGATCGATTTATTCACTTTAATAATGAGAAAGCAAAACGACGAACGTACACTTTTCACGGGTTTCTCAGCGCTGTTACTTAAGTCAAACGGCATCTCCATAGAAATTGGGTGACTTAAGTAACATCGAAAACTATTTTGATCGGAAGGTGATTACGTCAAAAAGCAATTTGACTGGTAAATAAATTTAAAAATGGGATTTGATCCTATATTCGGACAGTATATAGTGTAATAGCAGGAGAATCGATTGACACTGATAGCTTGACTTTGTTTACCTTTGTTAAATTCGACGTAATGAAAATTTGCTCTTGATGTGATTCCAAACAAACTTCAATAAACTACGAAATGGCTTTCGCGAATTTTTCGTCATTAAATTGAACGCAACAAGGGTTAGTGATTTCTAAAATTCTAAATTAAAACCTAGATTGAAACGTACATTTTCATATAAGAAATTGTAACGTTATATAAGGAGCATTCATTCCTGAATGACAAACGTTTCCTGTAAACGATGAAATCACCTAAAGAGATTTGTTTTATTTAAAAATGTTGGATAATTTTCGATTAAAATATTTAATTTGAACATACAACTCAAATCGATCATCGCCTGCTACCCAAATTCTAAACAAGATGCAACACATCTTTAAACCCTTTGCATCAAAACATTTCCCCATCTCTACTGTGATATTAGGGTGGGTGAGCCAGTAGTGGAGGTACTAAGCCAATTTATTAATTAAACAATAAATATAGGATGTACACACAATTCTTATACGTCAATCTATAGCTTTCAACCTCTATTTTGATAGAAAAATATTACAGTGTAATAAAATTGCATGAAATTTTAGAAAGATCGTCCTCCATTAATAGCAACACTGTTCCAGTAGTTGTGGTCGTTGCTAATTTTGGTTCCTATAATAGTGGAATGCGTTGGTTTCTTATGGGTTCCACACACTTAGAAAAACTCATGTAAATTTAGGTGCTCTGAGACTGACATATACGAGCGTCAATTTTGACATAAATTTGAGTCATAACAGACGCGAAATATAGCTTAATCACTCGTACTTTTCGTCGAACAACGAACTTTTCAGTCTTGGAGCACTTAATATTACATGACATGTTTGTTTACGTCTCATCTTTTATGTCCAAGATGGATTCCGTCACTTGTAAAATTAGTTATTTCTAAGTGTGCACTATTATAGGAACACTACCGCAACTAAAGGTGCAAAGGAGTGAAAATCTTAAGAAAAATGAATGATTTTCCGTAATTTTTGGGCTAATTTTAAGTTTGAAATATGCAAATATGCTTTATTTTAGGACAGCTACCGATAAAAAATAATCTTATCCGGGTCCTCCTCACTATTCTGGCACAACCTCCTCACCGCAACTATAGGTACACCACTATTACTGGAGCACCTACCCTATACGATATATAAAACCTTCCTCGTTTTTTTCCTGTCATTTTGACATTATTACTTAAATTTATCATCGGGCAGTCTAGTGGTAAGTGTGACTGCTTTCTCACCATTTAATTCCACTACCTTATTTGCTTATCCTTGACAGATACGCGTATTTCGTCTACAATGTGAAGACTTCTTCAGTGTCGTGTACTAATACTCGACTGTAGTACAAGACACTGAAGAAGTCTGCACATTGTGGACGAAATACGCGTATCTGTCAAGGATAAGCAAATAAGGTAGTGGATATAAATGGAAATTACTAATCTTTCTCTCTCACTCTCTTCATACAGGTATTCCACTAAGACGCCTACATTCATCAGGATTTGCTTTCTCACCCCAATGGGTCTGGGTTAAATCCCAGCCGAGGTCGATGGGATTTTTCTGAGGCATAAAAATCTCTGGTCACGTCTTCCTTCGGAAGGGAAGTGTAAAGCCGTTGGTCCCGACCCATGTGTGTTGATTGGGTGCGATATCCTAACGCAGGTGTGGAAGCTGCCTTCCTGCACATTCGATTGCCGTCAATGTATGGCAATCGATGTCCGTCGGTGATTGGCACTAAATTGCGGAGCAGAGACCGACGTTAAATAAAAGAAAAGAAAAAATAGTATTTTATTAGTGTTTAGTATTTAGTATAGTATTTTTCTGAAATAAGGAATAAACTGCTTCTAACTGAATGCAATACCTCTCACCAACTGCATATCCATATCCACTGATTTGCAAGCACCAATGGTAAGCGATCCTACTCCACGCTTGCACGACTGGAAAAGAGCGAGCCAGTAGTCAATAGATCGCGCATAAGGTTGAACCACTCTTTTGCTTTGCTCATATACAGGTACACGGTCGTTATTCTCCTGCATTCATATGTTTCGCATTTTTCTGCATTGTTATATTGTGTAGATCGATCCGATGGTTGTCTGTATGTGGATGTATACGGTGTGGCATTCAACAACACAGCAGCTGCCTACATCGGGCCCCTTCGGTCTATCCATATACCATGTAAGACGCGAGGAGAGTGTTGATCTTTCGCGTTGTTGATGAAAAGTGAAATTTGGATTCCTCGGCAAACCCACCACCAGACTGGTACCTGCTCAAAATTGGTCAATTATACGAGCTGAGCAGGAGAGGTTTGAAAGGTGCGGCGCGGTGCGGACCATTAGATGTAATAAACAAAAAATTATTAACTGTGTGAATTCCGCCTTGTGAGTTGTTGATCGATCGATGCACGGGGAACGGTGAATGATCGCGGTCTTTAGCTGCACTAGGGATCGTTTAGGGTACAGTTTTTGCCTACAGTACCGACGGTGAACGAAGCCAAGGAAAACATGAGTGATTGTGACATGAAAATTCCATGACATATACGGGATCCCAAGAGGAAAGTTCTTGATGTTTGCTGTGTGTGTGTGTGTGTGGTGGAATATAATAGACACTACGAACGCGCTGTATCAACCTGTGTCACAGTAGTTTTTTTCGATTCGATACATTCATGATATTTTTTGTGGATATCACCAAAACGCTAACGTAAGCAAGAAGTGTTGTGACGTGACTGAAATGCAAATGCAGTGCCCTACAAAGCGTTTGCATATCTATTTATTATTTGAAGTGGCAAAGTGTGAATAAGACTGCTTTGACTGTGATTTCAATCGCAAAACATTGTTTATGAACAATTTGAAGATTCGTGGGAACAGGAGGTTAGTCACCTGGTCGCTCGCTGCAGTCGTTTGAGAAACTCGTCCGACCGCCCCTCGAATTCCAATCAACAATTTCATCTCCGAAATAATAAAACATCACATTTTATTACCCTCAGCCATGTAGGCATTCATTCATTCGATCGTCGTTTATTTTGTTGTAGTTGAAATAATGCCAAAGGCGACAGTGACGCCCTCAGACGTCGGAAAGTGCAACCCACAGGATCGAAAATAGCTTTCACGTGAATAGACAACAGATATTACGACAACTTTGCATCGGTACTCGGACGACGAACAGCAACAGAAATGAGCCTGAAGACGAGAGGGATCGTGTTCGCCACCTTTTTCGGTAGCTGCTTGATCGTAGGTCTCTTGGTGGCGGCACTTACCACCGACAACTGGGTGCAGGCCAATGCCAAGCGGTACAACTCGAGCGAATCGCAAGGACGAATCCATTTCGGGCTGTTCAGCGGCCAGAAACATCTGAACGTGGCGTACGGCTGGCGGAAGCACGACATTGATGGTAAGTCAAGCGGGTTGTGGGTTTTGTAGCTTAATGGGTGGGAATCAAAAGTGCGGTGATTTCTGTAGAGAATTCAGACCTTCGAAAATATTAAGGGTGCATGAACGAGAAATTTTGAATGATGCTTCAGATGATTAGCATGTTCTAAGTTATGATTCTAACTTGTAGAATTCGTGGGCTACGTTGAGCGGTGTAATTAGTCGTTAAAGCATAGGGAGCATGCAGTAAGTACGTCATGCAAAATTTAGGGAAAATCAACAACACCCCTCTCCCCCTATCGTAACGTTTTCCCTATAAACGAAACGAAAATCACTTATTTTATTCATGTGTTTCACTTATACATTTTTGCCAAAACATCAGCCTTATACATTCCATAAGACAACCCACATAGGTCCTATAAGAATGCATAAAAGGTATGTGTGACCGCTTATACATTTCATTTGACACATGATCTTCATTAACTTTTTGCAAGGCGTCTGCTTATAAGTTGACTTATACATTTTATGAATAATCAGCAATAGAAATGTGCCAAAAAGTATAAGGAGATTTCTATCCGTGTACCTAATGCATTGTTTCTCTCACACCACTTAGAGCGTTACTTAATGGATGCTCCATATTGTGTGTGCCACGGAGTGAGGGTTAGATTCTACGATATCACAATCACAAGTAAGAAACATCGATCGATTGTCTAGTTCATAAACAAACAAATCGATTGTCAAGTATCATAACTTCACAATGAACAAGAAAAGTTTCCTACTTTGCTCAGAAAATGTCGCGAAAAATACCAAAACTACGTTGTCCTGTCAATAAGAGTCCCAGGGCTGTTACAACAGGCGCGGATTTCGCGAATTTCGCGGATTAGTCGCGGATTTGAACTTTCAGCCGCGAAAATCGCGGAAACATTAAATGATGTCGCAAAGGGACTGATGTGCTGTCACTAAAATTGTAGAATTCATTGTAACCTTTCCGTCCCGGATTATTTTGCTGAATCAATTTTGTTGTTCATTTGGCTCTCAATTTTTATCAGTTCAAACCAATCATCCTGCAAATAATCGAGAAATGATCTCAATTCCATAAGTCACACCGGATTTACAAGGAAATTCTCTGGGTCTGTCCAATGTGAAACATTTTCCTTTTTTTCCAATACCAACATAGCGTTTTTCGTTGTCAAATCATATACGAATCGTATATATGCGAGGAATTGCCATGTATACCGGATATTCTAGTTTCTCCAAATCGTCCTTGAGTTCAGTTGATTTGTTCTACTATATCAACTAAGGCTGCAATAATGTCTGTAGTATCGAAATATGTCCAAACAGATTCAAAATGTCTATGTGAATTGTACCCGACCTATTGCTATGTATACAATATGTTATTGGTTCTGAAATCATTATGGAGATCAGATTATTTTTCTACTAGTTCTACTAGTTTCAAGACTAATTCAATATCTGTAGTATCGAAATATGCCCAAATATGCGATCCACCCAGTGTCTATGTGGATCATGCCAACCTATTTCCGTGTATGCCAAATGTTCTAGGATTTCCAAATCGATATTTCAATACTACAGATATTATCCTAGTCTTTGTTGATCTAGTAAAACAAATCAGCTGAACTGCAGGACTATTTAGAGAACCTAGATCATCTGGTATACGTGGAAATAATTAAACATTATCCACATAGACACTATGAATCTGTTTGGACATATTTCGATACTACAGACTTTGTCCCAGTCATAATCTAGCAGAATAAATCATCTGAACTCCAGAACGATTTCTTCATCTTCTTATTCACATTTCAAGTTTATTGCTTAGTGCATATTAGCTTATTGCGTGCTTTCAACTTAGTGCTCTAAATGCACTTCCACAGTTATTAATTGAGAGCTTTCGATGCCAATACCAATGCATGAATTCGTATATTGTGTGGCAAGCACAATGATACGGTTGATCAAATGATCTGATCCAAATTATCCAGGACGATTTGAAGAACCTTGAACATCTGGATTACTCGGAAATAGATCATGCATAATCCACATAGACACTTTGAATCTGATTGGACATTTTTCAATACTACAGACATTATTGCAGTCTTAGTTGATCTAGTAGAACAAATCAACTGATGTCCTGAACGATTTGGAAAACATATAATTTCCGGTATACCTACATAGTAATCACATATATACGATTCGGTTATGATTTGAAAACAAAAAGTGATAGTTTCATATTAGAAATAAAAAAAAAATATCATGAAAATGTCTCACCATTGGACAGACCCCAAGGAATTTCCGTGTAAATACACAACCGCGACGTGACTTATGAAACTCTGGTAATTTCTCGATTATGTGCAGGTTGTTTGGTTTGAATCGAGAGCCAAATTAACTACAACATTTAGGACAGCAAAATATGTCAGAGACGCAAAGGTTAATTTTCAAGAAAATTTGCATTTAAAATGAAAATGCATTTTTTGAGAATTTGAATTTGAGAAAAGTATAGATTGGATTCACTCAGTCTATTGGTACTACCCCGAGACTGAATAAAATTTTCGTCAATTTCCACATTTTCCGGCAGATTTTTAGGTTTTCCACAGGAAACCATGAGACAAATTTACTCATCGCTGAGTTCCTGCACTAGTGGCGATTATGAGTGAACTAAACTCAAATTTGGGTCGTTCTCATTCGCCGTGTAGAGAAAACAAATGCTCAGCAGCGTTTTTCTCAGCTGGCTGTTTTCACGGATGGGACAACTATGCTAAAAAGGGCAGTTCAGGGACTTTTTTTGATGATGGTCCCACCTCTTACCCCTACAAAGGTATGAGCTGGACGATTTATCTTTAAGATAATCAAATATGACATTTTAACCAGGTTGGCAAACAAAATCGAACTGGTTTCAGTTGCAGATATAAATTCCCTCTAGAGTTTACAGTTACTTCACAGCGATATAAATGTGGAGAAGTTCAGGAGTCCACCTCTTAGTTCGCCTTTTTGTCCACCTAAAATATTCATAAGTATTACAAGCAATCAAGAGTTAATGAACAATCAACAAAGCATCCTATTACACTAGCAACCCCGCAATCTGATGCTATCATAATTTTCAGCAATGTCAGGAATGCTCACGAACCCCCAACATTTGCCAGAAAACTTACTACTAACTCAAGGTATCTTCCAAATAAACTTCAAAATTGCATTTTTTTTTATCAAATGTTAAATTCAGTCCTCTATATCCGTAATACGCGCGCGAGGCTCAAACCTTTGTAGACTACTTTGTTTTTTTTTTTTTTTTTTTAATTAATCTACTATTAAATCAAATATTAAAAATCCATCATCACCCTCGTGGCGAACAGAAATAGTTTTTGCAGTGCTAAAATAATTATTAAAAAGTCATTATGACAGCTATCCATATAAAATAATCCGTTAGAGATAACTTCGTCAAGATACATAATTTGTCAATTCATAAAAAAAATCACTGGATAACTGTTCAAAAGACAGTTTTAACGTGTGAAATGCAGTGTCTTTTAAATTCTGTAAGTGTTGCTGAACGTTTGATATGTCTAGGCATCGAATTGAAAACATTTATTCCTTTATAATATAATGAATTTTGTGAAGCACAAGTCATGAAATGTGGTGTTCTTATTTCAACCGCGTTTCTAGTATTATATCTATGAAAGTCACTTCCTCTTTCAATTCGATCACACAAATATCGAGGCAGCAAACCGTTAACTACTTTAAAAATGAACACCATAGTCAAATATACAATGCTTTGCTTGGGACTTCAAGGGCTCGTCTAAAACATCTTGTCTAGAAATCCATACAGACCGAAAGATGTCAGTGCAAGTTCGGATACATGGAAAGCTCACAAAGAATAAGGAGCGATTTGGTGTGCTCCGATATGTAAGCAGAGATATGTCCAAAGCTTCGTCGATTGCTCCTCTCCCCCTCTCGAACCTTCTTGACGGTGCGTTTGACGGTGTCCACAAAACGTTCAGCCTACCCGTTTGACTGTGGCTGGAACGGGGCTGTTGTAATGTGTTCTATCCTATTCGCCATGCAGAAGTTGGCGAATTCAGCGCTGGTGAACTGTGTTCCATTGTCTGAGACTAAGATTGCGGGCATCCCAAGACGAGCGAATAGTCCACGCAGAATGCTGATGGGAAGTGATACGCCGAGTTTGTACCACTTCAGGCCACTTGGAGAAGCTGTCGACGGCGATGAGATAGTATTCGCCTTCGACTGGACCGGCGAAATCGACATGAGCACGTTGCCATGGACCAGATGCTTTGGGCCATGGGACAGGATCCGAATGAGTTCTCGGAACAGGATACAGCCATCCACTAGACTGAGCGACTCCTGCCTGGCTTGAAATCGCTTGAGTTCCATTCTCGATGAGTTGCGTTTGTGGCCAACCATCTCTGACATACCGGAACACCTTGCGAAGGAGTGGATCGGACTGCGTACCCTGAGCGACGACTCTGAAACTGAGAGGAAGAGCGTTAACTGTACATGAGACTACCGCCCTGATATATTCCTCGAGACGGATACTGGCGATGACGTAATCTTGAAGCATGAATGAAGCATCAGCCGACACGATGATCTCCAGATTTGAACTGTAGTGAGTTAGTAGCAGATCCGAAGAGAGAATTCGCTTGAAACTGTCGAATGCTTGCTGACACTTCTTGTTCCACTCGAACTTTGCTTCTGACTTGAGCAGGCTGGGGGCGACCCCCGGCGTAGTGGTTAGCATCCACACCTCTCACGCCAAAGTCACGAGTTCTAATCTCACCCCCGGACAAGTCACGAATGACCCAAGAGCGTTAAAGTGACCATAATTTAAAAAAAAAACTTGAGCAGGCTGTCTAGCGGATAGCGCAACATCCGCATATTCGGCACAAACTACCCTTAACTCCAGAGCAAGGCTGGTAGCGAGTCACTTTTTTCAAGTCAGTCACTTTTTCTTGTAATAAGTCATCATTTTAAACTTTTTTTAAACGTGAATTTATTTCAAAATTG